GGGTTGGGAGTTGGAGGTGACGGCTGATTGCTGTGTAAATATTCATATTTGAAAAAAAAAAAGAAAACAAAAGAGGGAAAACCGAATGGATTCTACTCCAAGAGCTCCGTCCACTAATGTAGTGGATATGAGCTATGAGTACGGGAAACCGGTCTAGGAGACTCGGGCAGAAAACCCGAAGGTTAAACCTAGATAATAATGTCCAATAGGTTTTCGCAAAAAAAAAAAGAAGAAAAAAAAGAAAAAAATATGTGTGTTGTTTGGGAAGTACGTGTTCTTGGAGTTGTGGAAGAAACCAGTTGGTAACAACCGGATGAGTTATTGTCATGGTGAAGTGATGGATTAGATTGTACATAGTGAGCCACTTAGCCTATATTTATCCTACCCTGTCCAAAGAGCCTACGTTACATCCCTACAAGTCCTCTTGATTCGCGGTCTCATTTCTTTGATTGTTTTAGAGTAAAGGTTAGACGATGGGCAAATTCATGATTAACGTGACTGATGACCAAATTTGAGTGCACCTATCTTATATTTTGCGAAAGAAACTGAGTGAGGTATAAACATTTGCATACTCGAGAGTCTTGTTCCTCAATATGGCCGAGTTAATTGTTGAAGTGTGTGCTTGTGATCATTTGAATTCTTCTTGACTTAATTGATTGATTTGAGATTGGTTTTGCTTGAACCGTTGTCCTTGCTCGTTTGTTTGATTTTCTTTCCTTTTCTTTTCTTTTGTTCGGGACGAACAAAGGTTTTAGTGTGGGGGAGTTGTTCGTTCCACTTTTGTCATGTCTTCTTTGTTTATTTCATGCTTGTTTTTCCCCTACTTAGGTATTTTTCTTTGGCTTTTGGTCCGTTTCGAGTCGTCTCGTACTTATCCTTTGTTTTAGTCGTTTTTTGTCTTTTTGTTCGTTTTTCCCGGTTTCCCGTATCTCTTGTCGGTGGTGATGTGCAAGTTTGGTGGTTCGGTGTATGACTATGCGAAGTCTACTGTCTAGTTGGATGAGTTGGGGTCGTGTTGGAGAAGACGGGGTCAAATTCCGAGTCCGGATGAGAGAAGACGAACCCGAAAACCAAAGTTCAGAAATTCTTCGCCGCGGCCGCGGAGAAGAGGAGGTCGCGGCCGCGAGGTGCACGTAAATTCCAATTTCTGGCTCGGGGAGGTCGCGGCCGCGGAGGAAGTCGCGGCCGCGAGATGTTGTTCGCCGCGGCCGCGGAGGTCTATGTCGCGGCCGCGGAGGTCGCGACAGCAGAATTTTTAAGCTACGTTTTTGTTCAGTTTTTGATTGACTTTTCATCTAGGTTTAGACTTTCTCTGATAATTATTCACTCCAAAACAGTTTTTCTCTTAGTTCTTCATTGGATTTGATCTGGGATTGTGAAAACACCAAGATTAAGCTTGTGGATTTGGTTATTCGTGTATTCAACATTGGATTTTTCAATCGTAAGCTTTCGTTTCGTTTTCTTATTGATTGAATGGCCTTGATCATTATATGTGTTGGAGTTGAATGCATTATGAGTAGCTAAATCCCTTAGCTAGGGTTAAGGGAAGATCGTTCCGGGTTGATTTTATTTATGTGCATGATAGTTGCTCAATCCTCTCGAGTTGTGCTTAACTTAGGGTTTTGATGATTGATCCCCATCTCAACCTATCTAATCGATTTTAAAACTGAAAAGGGAGAAATCGTTTGATCTAGGCTCGGTAGGAATAAGCTTGTTCGTAATAGTATTGCTTATGTGTTGATTGCTTCATGAATTGCTTATAAATGTCTATCCTCTTGTTACGAATAGTTATTGAGGATAGACCTCTAGATGAGTAGTTTGACGAAGCATTCAACCGAGCTCTTGATTGCTCGTTAAGTGTATTGAGAACCGGAATTGATCGACCCCGATACCCTAGCTCCTTCATATATATATTAAATTTGTGATTCCTAGTTTGCTTGCCCTGTTCAATCACTTGCTTTTCAAATTAGTAGACGATAATCAAATCTCCAAACTTGATTTAGAATGTTTAGGATTTTCACTTCTTTTAATTTCCATTCTTGTGCTTGAATAATCGTACAAAATAACCCGGCTAACCTTCCTTGAGACACGACCCGGTGTTCGAATCTTTTGATTTAACTCCGGTAAAAACACTACAACATCTAGAGGTGAGATTTTGTATAAGGTTTTTTTGTTTAAAAATCCCACAAAAATTTAAAATGTCTAATCCTAGTCTCAAATAAGTTAAATACCTCAGGATTTTGTAAGATTTTTTAAAATCTTAATTGAATACCCAAGAATTTTAAAAGTCTTAAAAAGCTTTTACAAATGTAAATTAAATACAAAGAGATTTCTAACGTCTCAAAAACTCTTTAATTATCTCAACTGAATATACCCCTTTTAACATTTGGCATGTGATAACCTACATGCCACTTGGGCCGACTCTTCTCACACCAAGGACATCTTGGTCCTCGAAAGATTTCTTGTACTCAATTTTGTAATCATTCGATCTGCAGTGATTTTCTTTTTTAAGAAAAGTGGAATAAGCTGATACTATAGGACAAGAATGCCACCCCACTATAACTTTAGAGCATCTCTAATGCATTCTTTTGAAAGACTAAAAAGTTATCCACCTCATCTAGATAGAAAGTGTGTGAATAATTTATCCTCCAATGCATTAGATTATGGGTCCTTTCATGCTTATGTGTAAAAAATTAATGTTAACATTGTCAAGCTCACTTTCTAATTTCTCACATTCTTTCTAACATGATGACTCAGCATTTTGATAATTATTTGACACAAATTTTGAGCTTTTCATAAACTTGGAAAAATCCCACCCTTACATTTATCTAAGAAAACATTTGAGAATTTATTTGAATACAGTATAATTATTTGATGAGTTACAACTAAAATTTAAAAAATTTATCAATAATAATGTCCTGAAAAGTAATATTATTTGTTTGTTGAGTTATTGCAATTTTAATATTTTTTTGTTTTATTTTGAACCGATTAAAAAATATTTATTGTGTGGTTATATATATTGTAACTGAGAAATTATTGAATTAATAATAATTTTATAAATTTGATGATATAAATAAAAATTAACCGAATCAACAAAAAATAACATCATGCATATAATTATTGGAATTTGTGGTTTTTTTTATAATATACTCTTTGATTTTATTAATAATTGAATAAATCCACCTATAATTATTGGAATTTGTGGTTTTTTTCTAATATACTCTTTGATTTTGTCACCGCGTCTTCCAGAATTTCTCAATCTGAGAAAGAAGTCGTCTTGGTATTGGATCCAACTTTAGAAGCGAAGCACAGAGAAAATGTATCATTTACTAGATAGGATTTCGGGCCATTAGGACAACAGTCGGTCCGAGATTAAATTTACATCTATCCTTCATATGGGTAATCCGCCTATCCATAGGGTAGGGGAGTGGGTGGATACAATCCCCTTATATATTAGTTCAGAACATATTGAGCCTAAGTGACAGACTCACATGTTTTGGATCCTATGTGGCAAAATTATATAACTGGCTTAGGTAGATTTTAATTTATTTTCAATCCAAAAATAATTAGCTTCAGATTATCCATAAATATATTGATTGTTTATGGTCATGTTACATATACTAATTGCATTTTAATATCTTTTCTTATTATAACAACTTTTGTATTCTTTATCAGTTTTACATATATAATATATCGAATTAATCGTCTCTTGATGAGCTCGATTTAACATCCATATTGTATGTATAAAAAAATTATATTTATCTTTATAACAATGATAAAATTATTTTTTAATATTAATTAGAAAAAAATTACTTATCTATTAATATATTTATATTTCAAGTAGTTATATGATATAAGTTATAAAAATTACGATAATATAACACATGTAAGTCGCACAAGTAACAAGTGTCATTCTAAAATATATAATAATTATATTTTTCGTAAAAAAGTAAATAAAATGTAAAATAATTTTTTTCTCATTAATTTTAAAATTTTCAAAATAATTTTTTAACATACACCTGTGTAATACACAAAGCACCGATGTTTGGGATTACCGTTTATACTTACCATAAATAAAAACAGATTAAAAAATAACAAATCTACTTCTTTCCTACGTTTCTAATCTTACATATCCCCATAACTTAGGTTATTAGGTAATTACCACGTATACAGAGTTCTTGAGGGAAAAGGAAATTTGACCATGAATTTTTGCCCTTAATATATATGGCGTTATATATTTTCCTTTCATCATTAGTATTATACACAAAACAAGAAAAATAAAAATAAATCCAAAAAAACCTCACTTTTGAAAGAACGATGAATATGAAGAACCCAGATTTCGACGTAAGTATTAATTCTCTGTTGTTGAGTCGATTGTGTTATTTCAATAAACTCTTGATGAATCATGTATGTGAGTGTTTGTGTGTGTGTTTGATTTGTAATCCTTTTGTATTATGTCTGTTTCCGTGGATGATTGATTCGAATTCCCAATTTTGAAACCAATTTGCTGTCGAAATAGCCAACTTTGCCAAGTCTTGTTGTTATGTATGTTGTGTTATGATGTTTGATTGATGGTTTACTCGATTTTTTTTTTTTTTTTTACGAGAAGTAGTTGGCCTGGCAAGAACTGAATGAAAAGAATTGGAATTAATTTTCAGGATATAAAAACCCTGCCTTCGCAGAAAAGAGTGAATCTTAAGCCAAGTGGGCCTCTCTATGACTATGACTATAACTATTTGTTTGTGTGCGTGTGTTTGTTTGTGTAATCCTTTTGAATTTGTGTCTGTTTCCGTGGATGATGAATTGAAATTCCCAAATTTTGAAACCAATTTTGCTGTTAACAAATCAAAACCTTAATTTGCCAAAGTCTTGATATGTTATGTATGATGTGTTGTGATATTCGATTCATAGTTTACTCTGAAAAATTTCTCCACTCGATGTAGTAGCCTTGATTGAGGAGAACTCAAAATCTAAAAGAAGTTAAAATAATTTAATTGCAGAAACCGGAGGACTCGTCAGATGAAATTTCCAACCCTAACGATGAAGTTTGGTACACTTGGCCAAGTGGGCCTCTCTATGAGCATGACTATTTTCCTGGTGATGATGACTATACGAAGTCGCGTTCGAACACTCTATTGTCTCCTCTTACCATAATACTTCAAATTGTATGCTCATTGTTAAAAACATTTAATGCTTATTCTAGAAAATCATTAGTTAGTAGGTACTTGTTGAAATAACAAATCTACTTCTTTCCTACGTTTCTAATCTTACATATCCCCTAATTTAGGTTATTAGGTAATTACCACATGCTTGGGGAGGCTTTTACTTTTTCTGTTTCCCTTTATCAGAAGAATATTACGCAATATAAATTTAGAAAAACAGATCTACATAATATTTTAATATTCACCACATCATCTATACACAACAAATCACAAGCATGCTAACGTATATATATCAAAATTTCAATTTCGCATTTTATATATCAATACGTTGCACCAGTATTCGTTGATTAAATGTCGAATTTAGTCTTTTCAAATAAATAAAATAATTGATCATCACGAATTATATGAAAAATATTACCAATTGTATTATTATTTTTTATTTATATTTTTTTAAGAAAATTAATACTGTTTTTTTATCTATATTTTTTAATGTATCAGTACGTTGCACTTTATACAATATTATATTGCACCTCATAACACAACATGTTGCACCTTGTTAAACAACACGCTACACCTACCAAAATTACAACCAAAATTACCAAAATTATAGTAGTTATGCTAATAGATTGACTAATATTATTTGGTTAGAGGGCGAATTTAATTTTTTTAAATAAACAAAAAAATCGAATATGCCGAACTATTTGATAAATACTACCGATTTTTTTTATTTATTTATATTTTTTATGAAAATTAGTAATATTTTCTATATGTATTTTCATGTATTGCGATTGCACATTATAGTTATACGGATTGCACGTAAATGTATATCAGATTGCACAAAATCGAATGACATTCAACAAAAAAAATTTTCGTACAAACTTTTATATTTTGTGTTTGGTTATTATTGTTATTATTAGTTTTTTAAATATCGGTTAGTTCGGTATGTTGTCGTTTTTTTATTCAAATAAACCGAAATAAAAAACAAATTGTATTAAAAATATTAATTTTTGTATTTTATTTATTTATTTAGATAATCAAAATAATGGAACGGCCGAGCTTCATAAAAAATACAATTATTTATTATTATTATTATTTATTTTTTATGTATATTTATTTCACTAAAAACTATAAACAAATATTACATATTAAATGAAATGATAAAATATGTTATTTTGTTATATATTTTTCAAACATTGCACCTAAGTCCCCTATTTTTATCTAATTTACAAAAGAGACTCCACAAATCATATTTTGAATCAATTCCTGGCTTGTGCGGGCCGCCGCACGCGGAGAAGACGAGGTGGTTGAGGGGCTATTTCCGGCAGGGACCATAATATCTGGTAGACGTGTCCATTTGCCGGGCCGGGTCGAAACCCGGCCCGGCCCGCCGGGTCGGCGGTTCACCGTGTAATGAACCGGGCCCGGCCCGCTTGTAACTAAGGGCCGGTTCAGTGAACCGGCCCTTAACCGCCGGGTCGCAAACCCGGCGGGTCGAGTCGGTTCCGGGTCGGGCCCGGCGGGTTTGCGGGTTTATTAATTTTTTTTTTTACTTTTTTTGTTATTTTAATGTATATTAATGTTTATTTGAATAAATAGTTTGTGTATACTTCGAAAATATAAGTTTTTGAGTCTGTTTGTCTATATCATTTCAAAATGAAACAAAAATAATGATCGGGCGTCAATTCTTGGAACCAAATGGTTAACGGTGTTGTATTTTATTGAGTATGGCGGAGAAGTACAACTTGAGGTAGTTTAGAAATGCTAAATTGTACGTCAAATGAAGTCGAATAAGTGTAAAGAAAAAAATTATTAATGTAATGGACTTGAGCTTAGTTAACAGTTATTAAGTTCGAATATCGTGTACGATGAAAAATTTTGTTGCCAAAAAATTATACTCGAACTTAATAATGTTAAATAAGGTGCCTACGTATCCCTTTATTTGGGAATCAAAGTCCACGTAGTTCTTCTAAATCACATATCTTGGCTGCATACCTTTAATATTCGTATTCGTCTTCGACGTCCCCCCCGGTTCCACTTGTCGACGATGTAAAATCGGATGCATCGTCGTTGTCGTCCTCCTCCTCATTCGAAGTGAGCATAGCAGTTTGCATCCTTCGTTCGGCCTTCTTCCAATCACTCAGTAACATTTGTGCTTGAAGATTATCAGGCGTCATCCTCGACCGTCGTGGATCTAGCATGTAGCCGCCCTCACTGAATGCTTGCTCAACCGCGACTGTAGATGCTGGGACAGCAAAGATCTCC